TTGTAGTTTGAAAATTTCCTTCCATTTTCTATTTTTTTTTTCTTTTGAGTTTACCCCTTTATGATGAATTATATCACTTATTCTCTCTTTAATTAAATAGTATTTTACTCTACATTAATCTTATAAAAAAATTAATTTAATGAGCTTAAGCGTCAATTGCCTTCATAATCCTATGCTATCTGAGTTTTCTAATCTTCATGTGTCAAATTTAGGCGTTTCAGGAATAATTCATGTAGATATGGATTAATTTTCTATTTGATATCCATTATTCATATTGCATATGTACAAAAAGAATCATATCTAACATTATGAATAAAATTAAATTATCTAATAAACCTACTAAAAAATAATAAATTTACTATTTATTAATTAAATAATTTATGTTAAAAAAACTATTAAGTATAAAATTTTCAATTAGTTATACTACTATTACTAATACTATAATAGTTAAGAACACTTTTTTAAAAAATCTTCAATTTAGAGGAATTCGATGCGGTCTGCACCTCAGGCCGGCTCTTTGGGGAGGCAGCCTAGGCCCATGCCTAGGGCCTTCCCATATATTTAGGGCTCTAATTTTTTTCAATATTATGTATTTACGATGAGTTTGGCCTATTTGCACATATGAAGTGGCTAAATATAGACTTGGCCCATTATACAAATGAAGAGGCTAATTAATGAATAGGCTAATGGCAAAATATGTACTTTGTGTGAAAATTTTAGGCCCTAAATATTTCATTTGTTTTCTTATGATGTTCGGTTAGAACAATTGTGTAAAAATAACTATTTTTTGCAGTGATATGATTTTTATTTTCTTCTCCTTGTTCTCATTATTGCTTGAATGTAATTTATTAAAGATTTTTGTAACTCATAAGTAATTTATCAATTTCAAGGTGTAGAAAAACAAGAAATGATTATTTTTTTCAATTATTTATTTATTTAATAATTTTGTTTAATTATGTTTTTTCTTCTATGATTTTATCTGCAAATAGCTTAATTACCAGATAAGTTTAAATCGAAAAATTCGAAAAAGTCAAACTCGTCTAGGGCCTCCAAATTTAAGGTGGGAGCCTGCTGCAACTTGCAATTGATTGCTCGTACACCAACTTGTAGTGATACCTACAAAGCATCGGAAAGGACTCCTAAAAATTAAAAGTTTATTTTTTCGTTAAATAAATAAAAAACTAGAGCAATAAAAGAGTGTGAGTGAGATTTTCATACATGCTATTCTCACATATATAGAACAGGTGACGTATGCTTCAAGTATTTGGATTTTGTGAAAATCAACTAAATATGGGTTAATCCATTTAAGATACATGAGATCTTGATGTAGGAAAGCCTACAAATAAAAAAGATAAATGAGATACTCTTTCGATAAAACTAACAATCAATTTCTTATTTCATTCATAATCAACTGAATAAAACAATAGATGAGGAGTCCTTTGAATAAGACTATTAAACCTTATTTCTAATTTGTCCAACAAAACAAGATATCTTATTATTAATATTTAATTCTTAACTTATTCATCAAGATATCTAATAATAATTATTAACGATATTCTGGATCAGATCTCCTTTCCATATATGAAATCTTTTATGAAGTACATATGTGCTTGTATAGTTGATCATCTGGACTAATTTAGCGATCCATCTTAGTTTTAGTGTGGTCATGTAATTCTACAACTCTAACTCAAACTTTGAGTTATTTTTTTTTTTTTTTTTTTAAAAAAAAAAGCTCAAACTTTGTGTTATTCTAATCAATAAGTGCAACCCGGTCCACTAGGTCATCTAAACCGACCTTCATGTATGAAAGGATTAGAACGAACCTATATGGAGATATCTACATGTCTATATTACAGTTGAATATTACTAATTAAATGAAATTAGATACTGTTACTATAAAAGTTGTTCGATTTTATTTTATTCAAATTTTATTTTCAATTAAATTTAATTTTTGGTTTCATATACACAAAAAACTAAAGTATAAAATTAAATTAGAGAATAGCTTGAACCAACAAATCTAGGATATACAAGTATCATCAATATATATTACGGACAATCCGCAATAGTCCATGTGCTATAAAACATTTCAAAAAATCCAACCGAAACAATATATATTACACCATAAGGAGAAACTTGATAAATAATTAAATAATATACATCAACTAACAAATATTTTTATTCTAAATTAATAAAATCGGATCACTTAATTTAAAAAAATGTACTATATCCTACCCTAAAATTAGGGGTGTCTACATAATTATTAAATTTTTTCTCATCAATTATTATCAATTTGAAATTTTTTTTCCCCAAAAAGTAAGATCTCCAAATTTAAACTACACAAAAAACTGCCCCTATATATTAACACCTCCCATATTAACACCTCCCGCAACACACTACACTAATCTCACTCCAAATCCAAAACCAAAAACAAGAAAAAAATAATAATAATAATAATAATAGTAAATAATGGCCAAGCAACAAAGCAAGTCCCATGCCCTCATCTTCCCTCTCCCATACCAAGGCCACATTAACCCTTCCGTCTGTCTTGCTCTCAAGATCGCCTCAAAGGGCATTAAAGTCACTTACGTTGTCCTCGATTATGTTCACCGCAAGTTGTCCAAAGCCCGCCACGGCGGCCCGATCAACGACGATTTATTTCTTGAGGCCCAAAAATCGGGCCTGGACATAAGTTGCTCAACGATTGATGATAGTTTTCCCCTCGAGTTTGACCGGGACCTTAACTTTGCTATATACTGGAATTTCTTGTTTCGTGATTTTCCTGCCCGTGTGGACGAATTCGTGGGGAATATGATCCAATCCGACCCGGATTCGGCCCATTTCTTGGTTGTGGACTCGGCTTACGTGTGGCCCACAGCAGTTGCTACGAAATACAAGCTCGTGCATGTTTGTTTCTCGACACAAGCAGCTTCGCCTTTTTGCTTGGCTTACCATGTGGAGCTTCTAAGAGAAAAGGGCCATCTCGCATGCAAAGGTATGTGTACTCTTGACTAACACGAAGCCTGATTTTTATGTGGATCAATCTGTTATATATTTTTTTAATAAGAATATATATATTTATGTTATGAAATGTTATACTTTTATTTATATTATTTTTTAGAGGATGATATTTTATTTGATACTATGTATGTTTGTGACTAACCGTTCAATTTGTCTAGCAATAGATTTACAACTTGAATAAAAGGGTAAAAGTTTCCCCCAAAAATAATCCCAAAATTGTATGGAAAAAAAAACAAGGCTCAAATATTGAAAAATAAAAAATAAAAAATGGTACGGATATGTTTGCTCCACGCTCTGATCTTACTTTTGAGTCACGTTTAATAAAAAAATGTTATGTAAGACGGTTTAATTTGTATGTGGATCGATCTGTTATATTTTTCTTCAATAAAAATATGCATAGTTATGTTATGTGTTATGTTTTTATTTATATTATTTTTTAGAGTATGATATTTTATTTTGATATCATATAAAACCGTTCAACTTGTCTAACTATAGACTTATACAACTTGAATAAAAAGGTAAAATTTGCACAAAAATCCCGAAAATGTATGGAAGAAAAAAAAAGGCTCCATCTTTGAAAGAAAAAAAATCATAAGGATATGTTTGCTCCACGCTCTGAATTTGACTTTTGCGGCACGTTTAATAGAAAAGATGTTTTCAAATAAATGAAGTTGACCTTCTATTGAAAAATAAAAATAAAAAATGTATGACATTCTCAACCTAGACTCCATTCCCACTCTGTTAAAATGGCCGGCCCACGCAATTCCCATTTAAATAAAGATGTTGAATGGCCGACCAACAATTCCCATAATCAAATGTCATCAAATAGCATTGAATGATACTAATACTATTTGTATCCGTGACCCAACCAAAGAAAGAAAAAGGTCACAAATTTGAGCGACTCAGATCACATTATGATCTCGGGTGGTGACCGGTACTTTGTGTAAGAAATAGGACACTTGTCCTATTTTTATTGGACAAGTATATTTTTTTTTCTAAAAAAAATAAACAAATAATAAAATTCGTATTTTTTCATTCTCTACAAATTGAGACGACACTTGATATATTTTAAAACACAATTACATTTTTTTAATAAATTAAATAAAATAAATATTTAGGTTGAGTGGGGTTGAGGTTAAAGATAAATGTGAAAATAGTTATTTTCACCCCATTTTGAAGTCCTGCTAAGTTTTTCACATCGCCCAATAAAAAGCTAAGTTTTTCACCCCAGAAAATGCGAAAGACATTGTGCGATGAATGTGCGATAGTTGTGCGATGACATTTGTGTGAAAGTTAGAAGTGCGAAGGCATTCACATATCCCTTCGCACTTTCTGGGCTGGAAAAAGTTAAAGTGCAAAGGCATTGTGCGATGAATATGCGATAGTTGCGCGATGACATTGTGCGAAAGTTAGAAGTGCGAAGGCATTCGTATATCCCTTCGCACTTTCTGGGGTGGAAAAAGTTAAAGTGCGAAGGCATTGCGCGATGAATATGCGACAGTTATGCACTTGATATGCGATAGTCATGCAGTCATTCGCATAACCTTCGCACTTTCCGGGGTGAAAAAGTTAGATTGTTAGTGGGCGGTTTGAAAAACTTAATGTATCTTTGTATTTGGGTGAAAAAGATTTTTTCCCAAGATAAATTGGGTTGGAAGATTGAGTTGTGTAGGTAGAGGAGAGAGAAATAATTTTTAATTATTAAGTTGGGTTGAGTTGGATTGGAGATAAGAATGGTCTAAAGGCCATTCGCAGCCCTGCGCTAGATATGTATCTTTGCGCTAAAATAGCGCAGAAGTGGCCTCCAACACTGCGCCAGATATCTGCGCTAGATGGGAGAGATGAATAGTGTTGCGCAACATTTAGTGTAACACTGTAGCACATGCGCTACATTTTATCTTTTTTTTTTTTTCTTTCTTCTTTTTTATGTATTTTAATGTAATATAATGATAAATTTTTTTATAATGTGTATTAGTAAATGTATTTTTATGCTAAATAACTTTGTGCAATATATTTTTTATTCTAAATAATTTCGTGCTTTTAATTTATTGATGTATTATAATTTTATTTTGTAAATTTTTAATATTAAAATGCATAAACATTGTTTTTATTATTTAGGTAATAAACATTTATAAAAGATTAAATATTCATATATATATATATATCAATTTATTTAAAATAAAAATAAATAAAATATATTTTTATTATTTGAGTAATAAACATTTTATATAAAATAAAATATACATATATATATCAATTCATTTGAAATAAAAATAAATAAAATACAATTTTATTATTTGGGTAATAAATATTTATATAAGATTAAATATTCATATATATAGTAATTTATTTGAAATAAAAATAAAAATAATAATATATTTGATGTAGAGTAAAATGTAATGACAAGGGCTGCAGACGAATGCTTAACTTTACTCTATAGTCCGCGCTAGAATAGAGATAAGGGCTAAAAATGGTATAATAAACCACAATTTATCTGATTTCTATCTCTAAATAGCATTGAATGATAGTAGTAGGCCCACCTTTTTCTCATCTCCATCTCTGTAAATAAAAAATTGATATTCGAATTTTCTCGTTTCTACCTATGTATATAATTGTTGACAAAAAAATTGATATTCGTTTTTTAGCTTTGTTTCGTTGTATTTTGTAATAATTAAGCAGTTATATTTTATTATATAATTTGTACTTAATTATGTGAAACATGCATAATTACAAATAAAATAATATATGTCATATATATGAATATTAAATTCAAAGTTATAAATTATATAATAAGCATTTCATATTTTATAACTCCATTCATTAGTAAAGCTGAATAATATAATCATAAGTTATTTTACATATATATAAATCACTATGTATTGCACAAAACGTAATGAGTAATGAAAATTTTACAAACTTAAGTAACCGTGACCAATTTATTAGTTGAGAAAACATAATTTATTATTATTCTAGCATTTTTTTCCCAATTTAGTGATCTATATGAATGTATATTTTATGAAAGAAACATAATTAAAAAATGAGTAAGTTCAAAACAAACTCATTTCGGTTCGTTTAATAAACAAGCTCGATTAAGTGTTCAAGCTCGATTCATTTAATAAAACAAATGAGTCTAGTTTGAGCTTTCACAAACGGAACCTGAGTTGTGTTCGCAAATTGCTCAGCGAATAGTAATTCTATACTTGATTCTCAATTTCTTAGAGTATTAGTTATTCATCTTTTACTTACACAATTGTAATACTTCAAAACATTTTTTTTTTCATTTCTTCTTGTCGAATAGCTTATAATTAATATCAGAACTCATTTAATTTTAATATTTATAAATCAAACTAGTTTGATTTTATTGATATTAGTTATGATGCAAGATTCACGAACGTTTCATACAAACATAATACTTTGAGTATATTAAAGTCTTAATAAATTTCAAAACATTTCACACAAACATAATATAAAAGTCTCATAAGTTTAAAAAACTACATGATAGACGTTTTAAAAAGTCATAAAAAATTGACCAAATTCACTCACTTTAATACATATAGATTTTTCACTACATGATGGACGTTTTAAAAAGTCTCTCACAATAAGTTGACCAAAATCACTCAATTTAGATGCTCTTTAAAAGATTCAAATGAATACATGGATGTTCCTCTATAACCACAAAATTGGTTGCATAACTAGACGACGTCGTAATCGACTATATCCCCGGAGTCCAACCAATCAGCACGAGGGACCTCATAACATATCTCGACCCGGGAACCGTGGTGGCCGAGGCCATGTCCGCTGCATTCGAGGCCGACCGAAAGTCCGACTTCATCCTCCACAACACGATCGACGAGCTCGAGCCCCATGTCCTCCCGACCCTCAATCGACTCTACCAGCCAAGCTACGCCGTGGGGCCCACTCCCTTCTACAAAAACCTCCCCACAAACGCCATCCCCAAGAGCTTGTGGACCCAAATCGACTGCTTGAACTGGCTCGACTCCCGGCCCGCGGGCTCCGTGTTATACGTCTCGTTCGGAAGCCTCGTCGAGACGAACGAGCACGTGATCCGCGAGGTGGCCCACGGGCTTCTCTCGAGTGGAGTCGACTTCGTATGGGTGCTCCGGGATGGAATTATCGGCTCGGGCGACGTTACTAATGTTTTGCCGGAAGGATTTAAAGATGAGATTAAAGATAAAGCATTGGTCGTGCCTTGGTGTGATCAGATACGGGTTCTGTCGAGCGCTGCAGTCGGGGGTTTTCTGACGCACTGCGGGTGGAACTCGACTCTGGAGAGCATGTGGTGTGGGGTCCCGATGATTTGTTACCCGTTGACTTACGACCAACCGACGAACGCGAAAATCGTTGTGGACGATTTGGGGATTGGAGTTAGGCTTTGCGAGCGTGGGGGGAGGGTCGATAGGGTTGAGGTCGGGGAGAGGATTAGGGATTTCGTGTCTTTGCCGGTCGGGAAGCGGTTGAGAGAGGAGGCTCGGAAAGTGAAGGAGAAGTTCCGGAGTGCGGTGGAAGTTGGTGGCTCGTCCGAGAGGAACTTCGATCGGTTTATTGTCGATTTGAAGGAAAAAATCGTGGTTATGGGGGAGAGTGGATAAAACGCTGTTTTTAAAGGGAATGTGTTTGTTGGGATATATAGAAGTACTTGTTCTGTTGTGAAGTTATATATATATTTGTGCATAGATGATATTTGGGGTCAAGTCTTTGTTAAGTTGAATTCATAACAATATGTGCAAACGTAATTCATAGTTGAAAATTGAAATGCATTTGACAACTTGTGTCGAATCCAATTCAGATAATTGAGTTGCCCTGTTTACCCGTTTATTATCCGCATTGGACGTACCCAGCAAGGCTCATTTTTGTCACATCTTAAATTGTTATTGTATGTCTCACCATTCAATTATGGTTTGACTAATTAAGAACTTCTCTTGCAGTGGGGAGAAAGAAAAGTGGACTTTTATCTAGAAATATCATAACTTCAACAATTCATCATGTACTTGAAAACATTGATTTAAATATGTTTGGAAGTATTATAGCAATCATCAATGCAAGCTCACACCTTACATTAAAAGTTTGGTCCAAGATACTTGTCGTCCAATCCAAGTTCATTTTTGCTTCTGATACTTTTCACTTTTCAGTCCTTATTTAGCTAACGTAATGAACTTGTTCACTCGAATTGACATCAACTAAAAATTTCACCTCCTATATATAGTTTGCCTTCAAATTTTCAATCACATTCATCTAAAGTAAAAGCAAAAGAGAACATAAANAATGGGCAAGCAGAGGAAAGGCCATGCCATTATGATATCACTCCCATACCAAGGCCACATTAACCCATTCACCAATCTTGCTCTCAAGCTTGCCTCTAAGGGCTTCACAGTAACTTTTGTCCATCTCGAATTCGTCCACCATAAACTCTCTAAAGCCCATTCCCAAGAAGATTTCTTTTCCGAAGCCCAAAAATCGGGCCTCGACTTGCGTTACGCGACAATCGACGATGGCTTCCCACTAGAATTCGATCGTGAAGTCAACAGGTCCATTTATTGGGAGAAAATGCTGAAAGACTTTCCGGCTCACGTGGATGAATTTGTAGGGAAAATAGTAAATCAATGTGCCGATTTCCGATATTTCTTGGTAACCGACACCGTTTTTTCATGGCCTACAATGATTTCCGATAAGTATAATCTCGTGAATGTCTCGTTTTGGACAGAACCTGCTCTGGTTTTCTCTTTGCTTTACCACTGGGACCTCTTATCCGAGAGGGGTCATTTTCCATGTCCAGGTATGACTGCAATTCAACCTCACTATCATCAATATTTTTAATATAATTAAATAATACCACTCAATCATTGTTGTATATTACATCAACTTTAATTCACTGTTCATTCACTCGCATAATTTTAACTAACGTTCACTTCACATCAGCTCTCCTACTTTTACCTCAAATCAATTTTAATTATTATTTTAATATAAATTTAAAATTTCATTAATAACTAATCATACTATTTTTTTCAAAATTAACCATATAAAACTACAAAAATCCAAACAAAATCAAAAATATTTTATAACCAACGCATACTTAATAAGTGATATTTTCTAGCAGCAGCCTAAACATTTTCATTGTACCACAGAAAACGCTAGCGAAATAAATTACATTCCAGGAGTGAAGCCCATCAATGCAAGGGATTTGATGTCATACCTTAAGGAAGCCGGATTAGACGAGACGGTGAACAAAATGTTGACTTTGGCATTTAAGGAAGTTAAGAAAGCAGATTTTACATTGCACAACACTGTCGAGGAACTAGAACAGGACACATTAGCAGCACTCGACAAGTACCAGCCCAATTACGCGATCGGCCCAATTAATTTCTCGAAAATCCTACCCACAAATGTCATCAGCCAGAGCTTATGGTCCGAATCTGACTGCACCCAATGGCTCGAGTCTAAGTCCCCTGGCTCGGTGCTTTACGTCTCGTTCGGAAGCTGCGTGACAGTTAGCAAGCATATTATTGAGGAAATAGCTTACGGGATTATTTTAAGTGGAGTGAACTTCATATGGGTTGATCGAGAAGGCATTCTCGGTTCATTTGGGTTCGAAATCGAGGTTAAGGAAAAAGGGTTGATAGTTCCCTGGTGTGATCAAATTAAGGTTCTTTCGAGTTTGGCAGTTGGGGGATTTTTAACGCATAATGGATGGAATTCGACTGTGGAGAGTATGTGGTGTGGGGTCCCCATGATATGTTGCCCGATAGCGTGGGATCAAACTGTTAATCGAAAATTAGTAGTCGATGATTGGAGAAATGGGATTGATATATGTGATGGGGAGTCTATTAGTAGAGGTGAAGTTGCTGAGAAAGTTAAGAGTTTTATGGGCGGGAGTTTGATTTCGAAGAGTGTAAGAGCGGAGGCGGATAAAGCAATGGAGGCAATGCGGAAGGCGTTAGGAACTGATGGGTCGTCCGAGCGAAATTTCGATCGGTTTGTAAGGGATTTGGAGGCTTTGATTCAAGAGAAGGCACACATAAATTAAAGATTCAAGAGAAGGCACACATAATCTTGGCCTCTCTCCCTCTTAGTTCTCTTAGTATTCTAGAAATTCTAGTAATTTAATTTAGTGTTCGATTGTTCATTAGCCATCTTTAATTATTTACTAGGTTTGCTTATTTAATATTAAGAACATTTTAAGCTCGATTTTTATAAATTTAAGTTATGAAAATATCGAGTTCTAATAATTTTTGGAGCCAACCATGTCCCAACAATGTTGGTTGTCGAGGACACATTGAGAAATTGTTTAAATCCGTAGACGAGGCGGCATCCAAACTTAACTCATTTTCCACATTTAACCAATGTAGAAAAACTCAAACTGTGCCAGTGAGCTACAAGATATTTACTTAGGCTCGATTCTCATACTTAATAAAGAAATCATGTTTCAACATGTCTGTCCCACCATGATTTTAATAGATACATACACAATGTACTCTATTACAAAATTTACAGTCAAATAATTGACATAATGAGTGGTAACATCATTGAGTCTGAGGGAAAAGAAGAAAAGATGCTATTGTCAAATTCTCAAATTCATGGTTTCTTTCAAATTGCCCTATGGTGCAGTTAAGTTCCATCTTAGGAGCCACACATTAATTCCACTATTATTAAGGTCTTTTGAAGATGACCAGATGGTCCAGATTGAATTTTCTTTGCCAACCACTCAAACATGGTCATTTTTTCATTTAAAGATAATAGGAATTTTCCGCTTCACTTCTAGGATTCAGCTTCGTGTTTCATTTGGCACCTAGAGTGAATCATGTGTTATTGATTGTTTCAAAGCATCGTATATTATTGGAAAAAAATATTTAGAGCATGTTTGTTTATTTTGTTTTGTTTGAATTTTTTGGTTTGGTTTGGTTAATTCTGAAAAAAATGGTATGATTAATTGTTAGTGAGAATATTAAAATAATATTTAAAATAAAACAATTAAAATTGATTTGATGTAAAAGTAAGAGAGAGATGATTGAAGTGATAGTTAGTTAAAATAATGTGAGTGGATGAATAGCGAATTAAAGTTGATGTGCTGTGTATGAATGATTGATTGATATTATTTAATTATATTAATAATATTGATGATAGGGGGGTTGAGTTAAACTTGAGTTAGAAAAAGTGATTGAGTTAAAATGTTGAAATTGTTTTGAAAAATTTTCAGTAGGGCTGAGCATGGGACACGGAGAATTCCGAATCGTTTCGAAAACCGAGCAAAAATCACTCTGAACCGAAAAATATCCGTTGACCGTTTGACTTTCTTTCGAACCGAACCGAATTGAAAAAATAATTGGTACTGTTCTGGATATTTCATAAATATCTGTACCCAGAACTGAACCGTCTCGTACCGTACCGTACCGAATCGAGAAACCGAAATTAAGAACCGAATTATAAAAATAGATGCGTGCTATTAATATATTTTATGTCAACTTTGATCCTATATTATTTGAGAATTTTTAAAATGCAAATAAAATAGTAATAACAATTAAGATTCACTTACATTTCATGTTTAATAATACCTGATCTACAATTAAATTTCTCCTATTTAGAAAAAAATAAAATGAAATGAAAAGTTACCAAAAATATTTAAGCTTTACTTAAAGTTGTCGATACTTAGCCTTATCTTATAACTAACATGGTATGGAAGGTTAATAATTATTACTTTAATATAAAATTGTATTATATTTTGTTTGAGTTTTAAATTTTTCAATGTTAGTTGAGTTTAGCCTTAACTAAAATATAGGGTTGCTTCTAAAGTTGATTTAAAAATAAAATCTTTAGAATGATGAAGTATTGATGAATGTTGAATTTTTTTTATAAAAAAAACATATAAAAAATAAAATATAACTAGGTGGTCATTCAAAATTTTTTTAAAAATGATAAGAAATCTCCGAATATCCGAACTGAATCGAACCGTTCCGAACCGAACCGAACCGAAAAATGAAAATCTCCGAATTGGATACAGTTCTGGAGATCGAATTTTAGTGATCTCCGAACTTCGATACGGTTCTGGAGATTGATAAATCTCCAGAACCGTACTGACCCATGATCACTCCTAGCCGCCAGGTCCTGTGTATGCGTGAGTTTCTACAATTAATTCACCTCCTTGGGTGATGCTTTTGTCGAGGTTTGGAACCGTTCCCGTTGTTCCAAACGTAGCGTCGATGCAGGAAGAGCCGTTGTTGAAGCGGGAATCTCTCCTAAAGGCTTCGTAAGAAGATGCCCCTCTGGTTTAAGTAAAGTCACCGGAAGAAATTCCATTTTTTTCATCTCATATAGCTGAGAAAGATGACTTTCATAATTCCCTTCTACGAGAAATTAATTCACAAGTTCCCTCAATTCCCATAATCAAAATCCTCCCAGCACTACAAGTAAGTTTTGGGCCCCACCTGACTTCTCATCAATTAAACAAGCCTCCTTTAGTAAATCCTAATGAGGTGTTTTAGTATTACGGCCCAATAAATCGTGGTCTTTAATTTTTCCCTCATTTGGGCCTTCATTGATCTGGTACTCGGGCACACTGATAAAATGATACTTGAACTCTTGTCAACAACTTCCTTATCTATAAAGAAATACTCTAATATGTTGAAAATAAACATAAAAATATCAATATATATAAATTTATCTAAATAATAAATAAGTCAAAAATATAAACATGCAAATAAATGAAGTGTATAAAAATACACTATTAAATATATAAAATATGCACATATTCCGACCAATCAGTTTGCTATCGGATCTCGCACATATTTTGCGAGGAAAACCGTCCCGCTAACTTCCTCGCTTGCATCGGTGCCTCCACTCCCCAAAGGCGCATTTTTCATTCAGACGACGCTCCTCTTCGCCTCCATACTCTTGTGCAGATGGACCATATGGGTTACCCATCGTTCAGATTTGGCTAGTCGTTTTGTATTTTTTTTTTTATGTGCTTTAGCACACTCATGGTGCTGACTGCTCACCTGGACTCCTGCTAGCCTAGGCTTAGATTTTTTTGCTTTGGTTTTTGTATCTTTTTTTTTTTTCCTTCTTTTTGTTTTTGTTATTTTTTTGTTTACTTCAGCCCAATTAAGTTCTTGACTGTATACAGCTTGGGGGTTCAACCTTAATTCCCTACTCTCTCGAGGTGTTTATTATAAAAAAATAAAAAAGTAGTGTCGGTCTTCAGTGTTGTTGCGCAGGAGGATTGTGGCTTTGTCTACCTTATGTCAGTGATAGGGCGGAGGTTGACTGCCGGTTTCTCCTTTGTCCCTTTCTTTTCCCGATGTTAGGAAGAGGGAACGACCGGCGTGTCGGGCCCTAGCCCGTGGTGTGGGATGTGGTTGGGACGGTGGTGAATCTAGTTGTCGGAAATAACTTTGAAAAGTTGGAACTAAGCTAAAACATACTTATTAGATTAAACATACTTATTTGTTTCAAACATATTTCTATTTATACTAAGCTCATGTAGCACACAATAACATTAATATCCAATGTCGTATGGTATGGGTTACGAACAATATTAGATTAATGTGATTAAAAGTTATCATTTGACTAGACATGGTCAAAACACCCTGCCCGACCTGCCGGGTCGCCGGGCTCGAAAATACTGACCCTGGACCGGTACGGACCTATACTCATGTCGGGTCGTGCCCGTGCCGGGTCCGTTACTTTTTTAAAAAACAATAGAAAAAAATAAAAAAAAATAAAAAAGGAGGGTCATCGACCCGGCCCGACCCTGGTCATGAATGGATGACCCTTACACGGTCCGTCTGAAATCCGGGCTGGTCCCGAACCCGTGATCAACGGGTTTGACCGGGCCGGGCGGCCCTTGCCATGTCTACATTTGACAAGTCACTTTGAATAAACTAAAACCATAATTATCAAATAAGTCTGACGACTTATATACTTATTTTTCAAAACATATATATAATAAAGTTTGAAAATGTAAGTATAAAAAGTATGTGTACAAAATGGCTATTAAATTAAGATATATAGGCGTCATTTACATTGCGGCATGAGACTGGATAATGAAAATTGTCACCCCTTGTACAATGTTTATTTTCCTGGATTGGGATGAGATTGATCCCACTTGACGCACATGTGGACTGCAGTCCCCACTACTTATCAAATATTGGACGACTAAATTAGTCTTGTTCGCCACCCGCGATTTCTTAATCCCAATATTTCTTTTACATATTTGCAAGCTCCACTGTTTCAGACAATCCCATCAGATAAAATAAACCTGGGACAAATTGCTGATGTGTAAAGTATCTTTGATTAGTTTGTCCAATCCTATCACACAAAATAAACGACCCCATATTATATTAATCTTTTCAAACATTATTATTATATATATTAATTTAATATCTGTGTAGTGTAGTGATGTTGTACTAGTGAAGTGAAATAGTAGTACTCAAAAAGATTTTTTTAAGAATGTATAAATAAATAAGTCAGCAGAATTTTTGTGGCATACGTTTCACGTTTGCCTGTCCTGTCCATTTCTTACTTGTTGACACGATTGAGCTTTAAAGGCCCTGTCCTGTGCAATTCGATTCCATCCTTTCAAACCACATAAATGTTCACCAAACATATTTATATGATTTTGTGTCGCGATTCAGATTTCCAAACACTTTCAGGCTTTCAGCCTCTCATTTTTCGTGGTCTGCAAGAATTGCCTCCAAGTGCAACCGCCTGAGTTTGTCCCTTTGGATAGGCACAGCTGATGACTTTTCATGGAGGCAAAATTATAAAACATCACATAATTTAGTGGGTGTCAATTTTGGTTAAAAAACTCACTAACTAATTGAATTGCAAATAGTCAATTAGCTAGACTAGATTTAGTTGGCAATTTCTGCAACTAGCTATTGGTCATTTTTATTTTATTTATTTGACATACTATACTAGATTTATACTTGTATATATTTGCTGCGATCCACAGAAAAGTATCATCATGGTAACATTTATTAATTATATGTGTGAATAATACAAAATATAGTTTATTATGCACTAGTGTGTACCCCGTGCGATACACGAGAACAATATTAAATTAACAATATTATAAATAGATCTCGAATTTGAGTCACTCAATGGCGGGAGTGAAAACTACTATTGATCCTATTTAAAAAAAGAAAGAAAAAAATAATTATATATTAAAGAGGAGGATAAACAATACTTAATAGTTATAAATTAAAGATTCGGGGTCAAACAATGTAAAATTATTTTGTATAAGAGAATATAAAAAAATTTGATTACACACCATTTCAAAATTATTATTGTACTTTTTGTATCGTTAGCTTATAATATTTGGAAAAATATTAGTAATTAGACCGATGAAAATTAGCTTCTTAAAGTAGATAATGGATTTCTAGTAGTAATTATGAATTGGTTTCTATTTTATTTTATTTTTTCTTTTTAAAAATAATGAATTTCTAGTAGTAATTATGAATTGGTTTATATTTTATTTTATTTTTTCAAATCTGTATAGATAAGAGATGAGACTTTTTAAACACATGTATGCAATGAGAATTTGTAACAGAAGAGATAAGCTCTTGTAGATTCATACTAAAAATAGGAAAAAGTAAAATAAATATTTATTGTCAAACAACGGTTTTGATAAACTAAAACCAGGAAAAAGAGAAACAAATCTTTACACAATTAATGAGCCGATTTTCTTGTCTATTCAGATTTGTCCAACAATTACTATAGTAGGATTATTTAATGATTTTGGCGGGAAATAGTTTCTAAATTTGTAAAAATGTTATTCTTTTTATATAATGATAGATTGGTTAAAAAAGAGATTACAATATAAAATTATGATTTCATGTTAGATATTTTTTTATCCTCTCACCTCGCTTACGATTGGACGACGTCAATAGACTCAATACTACTCATTTATATATTAATTCGAGTATCTAATTTTTTCATATCATGAAAATACTACTCATTCTTTGACGGCTATAAGGGTTGGTATATGTTGATGTATAATTTATAGACAGTTATTAATATGAACCTGGCAAAATAAATTAATTATTTATCTTTATAATAAATTAATAATGAATTACGACTATAATTATGAATATCAATTTATTGCTTATTTGTTTTACATATAACTATTACGTGGCCCGTGCGATGCACGGGAAATAATATTACGATTGTATTATAAATTAAGTATATAAATAATGTTAATCATGATTTACTCATTGTTTTCAAAATCGGACCGAACTAAACAGTCTGACCGGATGGAGTGGGAACCGGTTTATTGACCAGTCTGGTTCGTTTGAATAAAATGTTTGCTACAGAACCGTCAAAGCCAGTCGGTCAGACTGATAGTATTGGTACGATTTTTTATATAAAATTTGTTACATTTAAAATCATTTTTAATATAAGTAAAAATACATATTTAAATAAAATGGAGAGTCATAAATTATTTATCATTTAGTTTGAACATTGAAAAATTTAAATTGTTCAATTATTTAATTAATATTTTTTAATAAATTTATCATAAAAAATTTAAATTGTTCAGATATTTGATTTGCATAACATAATGTAAAAGAGATCTTGTAAAAAAGACTCATTACATGCTTGCAAGTACCCAATCGATNGTAGACATAATTTATGAGTCCTTTAGCATATGCATTCTGCAGTGGCAAGACATTGTTTTGTTGATGAGTCCTCGACATATTCATTGTATGAAAAATATTCCGTTGAGTATATTTATGCATGCAGAGTAAAATGTGATTAAGATATCTAATAGATAAAGTGTACGATCTTCATATTTTGATAAGATCAATAAATATTTTATCACCATATTACGCAAATCATGCATTAATGGAAAAAAATATGAGTAAGGGTTAAAACTGTTCCCAAAATTCAGGTATTTAAATTCAAATAATTGATGTGAATATGTATAAAATCTTTTGAAATCATTTTATAACTAAAATTTAGGAATTAAATTTAAATGACTGATGTGAATATGTATAAAATCTTTAGAAATCAATTTATAACTAACCACGTTTATCTTGCCTAAAACCAACTAGCACATTTTCAAACTAGACTTAAATGGAAATATAATGAGTCAACTTTTAGCTCAAATAGTGAAGGGCCTAAAGCTTTATTTAGCACCACACATGTATAACTTGACAGTATACACAATAATCTAACTTAAAAAAGGAAACATAAAAAAAAAAAATGGGCAGGAAAAGCAAAGGCCATGCCATAATGATCTCAATACCATACCAAGGACACATTAACCCCTTCATAAATCTTGCCCTCAAGCTCGCCTCCAAGGGCTTTACCGTAACTTTCGCTCATCTCGAATTCGTTGACCATCAGCTGTCCAAAGTCCACACCAACACTAACGGCACTACTAAACCCGACCCGTTTTCCAAAGCCCGATAGTCGGGTCCCGACATACGCTACACGACCATTACCGATGGTTTACCATTGGAATTCGACCGTGAACTCCGCTTTGACGAGTATTGGGAGATCATATTGCGCGACTTCTCGAACCATGTGGATGAATTTGTCGGGAAAATGATTCAATGTGATCCGAGCTCAACTTATTTTTTGGTAGCCGACACTCTCTACCCATGGCCTTCAATCATTGCCGACAAGTACAGTATCGTGAGCGTCTCGTTTTGGACTCAGCCGGCCATGGTGTTCACCACGGGTTACCATTGGGACCTTCTGACTGAAAGGGGTCACTTTCCAAGTCAAGGTATGTACATTATAAGCATGTACAAATTAATGTCGTTTGGTTTTGATAAGTGAAATGTTGTATCTTGGCTTGTATTGTCGTGTCATGTAATTATTTATCGATGTAGTAAAGTAGTTAAATTATTGATTATTTACGTGTTGTTCGTGTACCCAGCTCAACATTACTGTTTTTTTCGTGCATAAGCTTTCAATTTGATCACTTTTCGTGTTCCGCAGATAAATTTGAGGATATAGATTACATCCCTGGAATCAAGTCGATAAACACAAAAGACTTATCGTCATATTTTATGGTAACCGACTTCGAAAATATATTTTACAAGGTTGAGAGCATAGCATTTAGGAGAGTAAAGAAAGCCGATTTTATCTTGCACAACACCGTTGAAGAATTAGAGCCCGACGTACTTCCAGCTCTCAACCAATACCAACCCAACTACGCAATTGGCCCAATAAATTTCTCGGTTAAAAGCGTCATGAGCAAGAGCTTATGGTCCGAGTCGGACTGCACTCGGTGGCTCGAGTCCAAGTCTCCTGGCTCGGTTCTTTACGTCTCGTTTGGTAGCTTTGTTCACACTAGCAAGGAGACTATTGAAGAAATAGCTTATGGCCTTCTCTTAAGTGGTGTGGACTTCATATGGGCTATTCGAGAAGGTATCCTCGACACTCTTGATGCTAATGCCTTGCCCTTTGGGTTCGAAAACGAGGCTAAGGATAAAGGGTTGGTGGTCCCATGGTGTGATCAAATTAGGGTTCTTTTGAACCCTGCGATCGGTGGATTTCTCACGCACTGTGGTTGGAATTCGACTGTGGAGAGCATATGGTGTGGCGTGCCCATGATATGTTACCCGATAGCATTCGATCAACTTAATAATAGGAAGTTGGTGGTCGATGATTGGAAGATCGGGATTAGTTTGTGTGAAGGGATTTTGGTTGATCGGAATTCGATTGCCGAGAGGATAAAGAGCTTTATGAACGGAGCGAAGGGTTTGAAGGTGGAAGCGGAGAAAGTGAAGCGGGTAATGCAAAAGGCGGTTGAAGTTGATGGGTCGTCCGAGAGAAATTTCGACAGGTTCGTAAGTGATTTGGAGGCCAAGCTTCAGGAAAAAACTGGAAATGGTGGCAAAAAAGATTTGATCATTGGCTAGACAATATAAGGGGTGCATGATTAATGTACATTATGTTGTATTGTTGGTTATAAACCTATGAATTAGGATCGGTTTCTTGAAATCTGTTGCATGTGTAGTTTCCTTAAGGAATATGTACGACCTTGTTGTCAAATAAAATGTGATTACCATTGTTTTTTTTTTCTTTTCCTCCAATAGCAATCTAAAACAATTCATACGTTTCAACTTATTTAAAAAATTTAATCTGATATTAGAAATGTGCATAAAATCTTAATTGGTGGTGAGCTAACTATCGTGCAAAGTCATATCTCTTTGGTTAATAAGATACAATCCCAAGGGTCCTGATTCATAACAGGCATATCGAAATTATTATACGTCAAATAGCATCAAAGATCTTGGTTTCAAAAGATGGAATGTCTTAACGTTTTTTCAGCCAAAGAACTAATTGGATTGTTGCAAAATTTTGGACAAAAGAAAATTACAAAATTTTGTCTGCAATTGTTAATATTAATTTTAATATAATTTGACATGTGTAAGATTATAATTGGTTGTAGATTATATATGTATTTAATAAATAATATAAAATATAATAGAAGGTGTTTAGAAGTATTTCTATTATAGAAGGTGCAATACTATTTTTGAACGCCACATGACAATAAAAAAGCAATACATATAACATTGGAGATCCTCTTAGCACTAGCATAATAGTATTGCATCATCTCCACCATCTAGCCCAAGCCCATTTAATATTATCAAATTTATTCAGCCCATTAATATTTAATCAAGCCAGCCCAAGATTTGTCCCGTATCGATATCCCCAGCCCAGAGCCCACTTTTTGAGAATTGGGATAAAAGCTATGTTTACAAAAATTTTCAATCAATACTAAAATTCAACTCAACTTTAACTCAATTTTATTATCATTAATATTATCAATATAATTAAATAACACACCCTCCTATTTTTATTATTTGTCACTCTAGTTGAATTGATCATTCATTAAATAAATGTCGTTTTACCTATTTTATTCATATTTTTCTATTTTTAACTCTCCATCTAATATAAAGTGTCTCTTCATATCACATCTCCATCTTTCCCATAACATCCATTAAATAGGATTAATATTGGCCAAAAAAAAATTAATTAGTGTGTTGATTCTCAAAACGACCAATAATAAAAATAGAAGGGAGTATCATTCAATCATCTTACACTTTACATCAACTTTTGATTCACTATTCATCCATTCACTTAATTTTAACTAAAAATCATTTTAAGTAATTTATCTCCTATTTTATATCAAATCAACTTTAATTACTTTTTATGACCAAAGATATTTTACTTAATAAATAACTAATTATACTTTTTAATGGCAATCGTTTGCCTTCACGTTCATTTCTTGCACGAATCAAAATTAAAAAATGGACGCTGTTGACATGATCAGCTCTAAATGCCCTGTCCTGCAATTCGACTTTACTCTTTTCAAGCCACAAAAAATGTTAAAATTTAGACCATATATACTAATGTGATTTTCAATCGCGATTCAGATTTCCAAACAATTATGTCTCTCATTTTGTCTGTAATCGATAATTGAACGGCCAACACAAAATGGACACTCTCATCCTTGCTTTGCAATTGGACTCTAATTTTGCCCAAGTCTTTGAAACTCATTTTTTGTGGTCTCCAAGAATTGCCTCCAAAGTGCAACCTCCTGAGTTTGTCCATTCGGATGGATACAACTGATGACTTTTCCTAGAGCAACTACTATTATAAAATATACCAATTAAAATATAACAAGATGAAAAAATCTCAGAGACCAATATGAAAAGAAAAATAATAAATTGGACGATAGAAAAAAAGAAAAAAAAAATACATGANTGTTTTGCAAGTTTGCATTTTCTTTAGGCATACCGCTCAAAGCTTGTAAACAGAAAATGTAACGGTATTTTCTGGTATTTTTTATATTGTTATTGTTTTGTAAAATCTACGTAATTTAACGAGTTTGTTTTTCTAGAACAAGTATATTATCTCTTTATAGGATAGGTACATGATGAAAAGCCCAAGAAGACCAAGTCAAGAAGTAATGAAAGGAGATCTTTATATTTATGGGAAGTGTTCTATTAATAGATAATATTTTATTGCTTGGAAAATAAGTTGTGTAACCTTTGAACATATGATTAGATCTCTTTATGGATGTGGGTGTGCTGATTCTAAGAGAGAAACACGTCAATGATCTTGTATTTTTATTTGAGAGAAAATATTCTTCGATTTTCCATTAAGACTTAATGGAACTCAAGAATCCGCTTTAGCTCAGCCAGTAAATCGTCTCTTGTCGGGTCATAATACAGTCTTGAGGGATCTCATCTTTTTTATGATATTTTTCCCATTTTTTGCTTCACTATTATTGTAAACAAATATTATTTGTCATTGTTAGTTGACTTTTATGTCAATTTTACGGGGAAAAAAATCTGGAAAAAATATTAAATAACGCAAGAATCTTCTACTGGCCTGAGCCTTTGATATGTACCCATCAATACATATTTGGACTACTACTGTACAATTACCTCAATTGTACTTCACCCTACAGCAATATTTAGCACCACACATTCACAAATATACATGTTCAATTAGCTAGCTATATAACTAGCTAGAGAGCACAATGGCTAAAAATAATTACTTAAGTACACAATAGCCCAACAGCCCATACAAAAAGGTTAAAGAGAGTAAGAAAAGAAAATGGTCAAGGAGAGCAAAGGCCATGCCATAATGATCTCAGTCCCATACCAAGGACACATTAACCCCTTCACAAATCTTGCCCTCAAGCTTGCCTCCAAGGGCTTTACCATAACTTTCGCTCATCTCGAATTTGTTGACCAACGATTGTCCAAATCCCACACCAACACTAACGGCAACACTAAAGCCGATCCCTTTTCCAAATCCCGAGAGTCGGGACTCGACATTCGCTACACGACTATTACTGATGGTTTGCCTTTGGAATACGATCGGGAGCTCCACTTTGTGGAGTATTGGAATACCATATTGCGCGATTTCATGGGCCATGTTGACGAATTTGTCGGGAAAATGTTTCGATCCGACCCGAACGCAACGTATTTCTTGGTAACCGACACTATCTATCCGTGGGCTTCAATCATTGCCGAGAAGTACGGTATTGTGAGCGTCTCGTTTTGGACTCAACCGGCCTTGGTGTTCACCACGGGTTATCATTGGAACCTTCTCACTGAAAGGGGTCATTTACCATATCAAGGTATGCACATATTATATATGCATGCACAAATTATACACCCAAATTTAAAATTATAGGTGAAGATTTGCATGGTAATAGGTATCCAAATGGAGTTAATAAAGTTTACACTTCCATTGCCAAAGAGCTTTCAATTGTAAAAGATCGGTTATTTTATCTTGTTCGACAGATAAATTTGAGGAAATAGATTATATCCCGGGAGTGAAGTCGATACACACGAATGATTTGGCGTCATATGTTAAGGACCCGGTAGAAAGTGTATTCTACAAGGTTTTATCTCCGGCATTCGAGCGAGTGAAGAAAGCTGATTTTATTTTACACAACACCGTCGAAGAATTAGAACCGGACGTACTATCAGCTCTCAACCAATACCAGCCCAACTACGCAATTGGCCCGATCAATTTCTCGGTAAAAAACGCCATTAGCAAGAGCTTATGGTCCGAGTCCGACTGCACCCGATGGCTCGAGTCCAAGTCCCCTGGCTCGGTTCTTTACGTCTCGTTCGGTAGCTTTGTTCACACTAGCAAGGAGATTATCGACGAAATAGCGTATGGGCTTCTTTTAAGTGGAGTGGACTTCATATGGGTTGTTCGTGAACGTATACTCGATACTCTTGATGATAAGGTTTTGCCTGTTGGGTTCGAAAACGAGGTTAAGGATAAAGGGTTAGTGGTCTCGTGGTGTGACCAAATTAGAGTTCTTTCTGACCCTGCGGTCGGGGGATTTTTCACGCACTGCGGGTGGAATTCGACTATGGAGAGCATATGGTGTGGGGTGCCCATGATTTGTTACCCGGTCGCATTTGATCAAGTTACTAATAGGAAGCTCGTGGTCGATGATTGGAAAATCGGGATTAATCTATGTGATCACGGGTTATCGGTTGATAGGAATGTGGTTGCCGAAAGGATAAAGGCCTTAATGTGCGAGGGTTCCGTCTCGAAGAGTTTGAAGGTGGACTCGGGAAAATTGAAGTTGGCGATGCGCAAGGCGTTGGAAGTTGATGGGTCGTCGGAGAGGAATTTCGACCGGTTTGTGAATGATTTGGAGGGTAAATTGCATGGTGGCAAAAAGATTTGGTAATCAGATAGACGAAATGGAAGGGGTAATTAATGAATGTTATGTATGATTGATGATTATATGTCCATGAATTAGGATTGGTTTCTTGAAAATGTGTTGTATTGTATTGTCATCTCATGAAGGACTATGTACGACAGTTGTGTGTTCATTGTTTTTTTTATTTTTGTTTTTTAAATCCAAAGCAAATGCTATTGTAATTCACATGCTTGGAAAATGGTATTTTTTTTTTCGAAATGATAGATATTAATATAAATCAAAAGTGCACAAATGTGCGAATACAAGTAGCTTCAAGCTGAATGAGAACAGCCAACAGCTGAAAAGTTGGAGGATAGGTCAGAAGACCGCCTAGAATCCCAACTAGCAACGCTAGAATAAAAACTCGCAACTGAACTAACCAACTACTCAAACAACTAAAACAACTAAAAAAGACCCTAACAGAGTAATACCCGAGTGTCTGATCCCAACAGAATAATAAGTTGACACTCGGGCGCACAGAGACCAACGGCCTAAACAAAAAACACGAGACCTAATCAACACAACTCAAAAGAAGAATACTCCTAAAACATAACTAAATGAAACAACTATAAACAAGAAAATGAAACAAGCCCTTCCAAAGCAGGCAAGACCGAGCTGAATAAGCGGACACCAAGACGACCCAAGGCGAACCCCGTTGCCCAAGAAGATCCCCGAAACTGCCTGAAAACCGCAGAAGCGGTTGCCTAACGGAGATGAAACCCAAGCACCGGAATTCACACACAACCGACGTAGGGCTTGTTTTTTTGGTATCCTTAAATGGGGAATTGCATCGTAGGGCTTGTGTTTTTGGTAGTGTGCCACAAAAGAATTTCTAACTTTTTCAAATGAGGGTTTTAAGTTATTCTCAATTAAAAACTTAATTTTAGATTCTAGTTCTCAATTTAACAGTTTTGCTATGGAGCTATCGGATGACTCGGCTTATGGAGTCATCCACACTTATTCACTAATAGTGTATTGACACGTGTGCTGCAATAAATACACTGTAAACACGTGTCAATACATTAAGTGGTGGATGACTCCATAAGAAAAACATCCGATGGCTCCATAGAACTTTTGCGCAATTTAATACTCAACTAACTTTATATTTTTACATAATTATGTAAACCAAAATACTCTTATTTTAAATTTTATAATTTAAATAATTATAATACATAATTATAAATATCTTTAGTAAAATTTTCTTGGTAAGAAAATTAATTCATTTAAGCTACATTTATGCAAAAGTTTCATGAAATTGACTTTAAAATAAAAAAAAAATATTGAAAAATAAATTTAGGAATGTATAATTTGAATATTATTTTAGTTTAAAATATAAATATAAAATAAAATTGTAAAATAAATATTTAAAAAAATTATTTTATTTTTAAAAAATGATATTATTGGAAATACTAATCATATATAAAAATGTTACCTTGAATATGATTATTAATAAAGAAAAATGCTATTTATGATAATATTATTTTAAAAACAATCTAAATATTATTATGATTTATTTTTATTTATAATGTGAATATGTAATAAAGTAAAAAAGAAATATTTAGAGTTATTCTAATTTTCTATAAGATTGACTATTAATGATGGTTGGAACTATGAAATTTAGATACAATAATATACAAAAAATCAATAGTGAAGCTTAAGAAAAAAAAATAATATTTTAAATACTTTATATTCTAATTTGAAAAATGTGCTATAGTTGTGAGTGAGATTTTTTTTAGTTTATATTTGAATAATATTTAAATAAAATAATTAAAATTAATTTGATGTAAAAATATGAGAGGGAATATGTGAAATGATGATTTTTTAAAATTACATGATTTCATAAATAGTGAATCAAAGTTAATATGATGTAAAAGAATAATTGATTGATTTTATTTAATGATATATTGGTACTATATAATGAAGATAATGAAATTATTAAAATTGAGATATATTTTGAGTATAAATTGAATATATATATATATATATATATATATATATAATAAGAATAGACTTAAATAAAATATAGTAAGCATTTTCCGCCATTATCCATTAATTACATTTTAATTATAGTAATTTTACACAATCTTTTAAAACAAATCTTGAAGCATTAATTGTAATCAGTTTTAACTTCCCTTAACAATCGGATTTATTGTTTTAAAAAGATACTCCATTGACTAACACTGAATCCGGATGTTTGGAATCAATTCTATTTAAAAGCAGTATTATTGTGGAATCAAATATTATGAAGTATCTTTTTAAAAGCAGTATAATTATTGAATCAAATAATTTAACCACGATTCAATATTTTTAATTCAATCCATATCTCTTTTTAGACTTATCAATTCATTTTCTCTCGCGAAACCCTCCCCCAAATTTCTCTTCGGCGCGCTCCTTCAATTTCTGACCGATTTGCCTTCCTCGGCGATGTTATAGGCTCGGCTAGGGGTCGTCCATGACCGTCCCGGCCTCCTTTGACGATGCGCGACTTTGATGCTCTGTGGATGGGCCGCGATTGGGGCTCTGGCTCTAGGTTGCGGACAGGGATTCAAGTGGTGGCGTCTTTCCCGGTCGGCGATTGGTGGTGGAGTTCCTCCGTTACAGGCGTTGCTCCGATTCGTGGTGGTAAGTCCCCTGCTTCTCCTTTGTCGGCGATTGCCGGAATGTCTTGTTTCCGGCGGAGCTCCGTCTTTCTGGCGGGTTTGAACCTCTGGTCGGGTGGTCTATGGAGGTGTCGGGCGGAGCACATGTCTTTAGGTAAGGCGGGACTCCGGTGGCTGCGGCGTGTTGGTTGCGGTGGTCGGGGTAGGGCCGTTTTTTTCTCACAATCCCCCGTTTGACTAGTGGTGTTAGGCGGCGGGGGAGGTTCTATCGGCTCGTCTAGTGGTGTTAGAAGAGTTCGGGTGGAATCAGTGTGGGTTTGACCATGGCTCTCTCGGTCATTGATGAGTCGATTCAGGGACTGGTTCGGGGTTAGGTTTCTTCTTCTGTATAGGCCTGATTGCAGTTTCGGTAGCAGTTTCTTGGCATGGACTTGTCTTGTGTCCATTGTCACTGCTGGTTTGGGCTTCTTCGTTTGCTGGGGAAGGGCTGCTAGTTTATTTTATTTTTTTTCGTGTTCTTGTTTAGTGTTTTTGTATCTGTGTTTGTGTTTTTCTATGTGTTTTAGGTTTGGGCGTTATCCTCGGTTTGCCCGAGTGTCAACTTATTATCCTATTGGGATCCATCACTCGGGTATTACTCTGTTGGGGTCTTTTTAGTTTCGTAGTTTTGTGTGTTTGTTAGTGTTATTGTGTGTTTGTGAGTATTACTCACGTTGGGGTCCGCTCTAGACGGTCTTTTAATAGTCCTCCCACTTTATTCAGCTGTTGGTTGGTTATATTCAACTTTTGGTTGTCTGTATTCAGCTGGTGGCTGTACTTTTGTACATTTGTTCGGTTTTATATAATATCTCTATCGTTTCGGGAAAAAAAATCATTTTAATGCAATATAAATTTGCCCTAAAATTGAACGCAGGACTTTACAATAATCATGTTATCAATATTAATAATATAAATATTAAATAAAATTTAATTATTTGGACTGTACACTTTATATTATCTATATCTATATATATATAAAGAGGTTGTTGGAAAAATACATTAATAGAAAGTTTGACCAAATAAATATAATGTTTGACTTACTATTAATGGAAAGTTTGAAAAAATACAGTTAAATCTTTAGAAACAAAATCTGAATCCTATTTTTCGGTAACAAATTTGGAGATTCTTATGGCAAAATTTGAATCCCATTTTTTTCGTATCATATTTTATTTTTTTACCAAAATTTAAATCATCTCTTTTTTGGTAACAAATTTAGAGATTCTTATGCAAAAAATGTGTCAATTATTTATGAAAACAATTCTAAATACAAATCAATTTAAAAACCGTGCAAATTGGATACAAATTTACGAAACAAATAGTTGTATAATTTCTAACTCATTCTTCCAATCTTAATGAATAATTGGTTAAAACCACGTGCAATTTTTATTTTAAAATAAAATTGATATTTGGACGGGATGTACATTCAAAATTGTACCCACATTTTTTGGTAACAAAAGCGGTTCATCTTTTAAAATAATTAATTGCACACCATATTTAGAAAGTTTTAGATATTTTAAATCATAAAATATGGTAGCATTAAATGCCCCTAGAATTATGGGCTTTGTTGAATTCATTTTTGAGAATTTTGATAGATATTAAAGTGAATATGAAATTCAAAATCTGTTCTCATTTTATTTTTAATAAAATCTGCATCCAAATTTACGTGTGGTTTTGAAGTGAAAATTTGAAATTCAAAATTTCTTCTCATTTTAGTTACAAGAGAATCGGACTGCATTCAACACTTGGACCAATTTAAAAATTATTCCTTAAATGAAGGAATTTATAGATAATTGTTATCTCTACTCAATCACATGATTATTTTCAATATAAAAAGAGACAGATTACAAATTAGTGAATCATATATTACCTAATTCAATATCTTAACATTAAGGAATAAATTTATATGCTAAAATTAAATTTTTATTAGTATAAATATTTTAGTGAGATAATATATTAATTACAAGCTAGCCTTAACATGCTCATATTTAATGTTCTTGCTAAACAAAAAAACGCTGGTTACAAGATGTGGAAAAAAACTTATAATAACCCTATTATTTTTTAGATTTAACGTTAATTAAAAGAGGTAAAAAATAGATAATAACTCTATTATTTTTTAGACTTAAACGGACAAGGGTGTAAAAATAACTCATTTAATATCTTTGTCCCGTGCATCGCACGGGATATGTACTAGTATATATAAAATAAATCGTATACTTTAACTCTAAAATTTTTCATGACTTTTTCATGATGACGATTACATAACAATTGTTTTATGTATTATAAGTTATTGATTAATAGCCTTCAATTATAAATTTTATGCATCAAATTTTACTATACTAGTATATAAATAAACAACCCCACCCTTATCTGCACGCACCGCCAAAGGGTGAAGCAGATAATTGGATAAGCAGCAGAGCCGCCGAGCATCGACCGGACATGGACCAGTTCTTCGGAAGCGCGTACCGGGGCGACCCGGGAGTTCCTCACTCGGGCCATCAACCCTTTAAGACTATAGGGATCGGGTGTGCATGCTTCGCCATCTTCACCTGGAATAACCCTTACATATGGCAAATGACCAACCAATACAAGTATTCCCAAATTCCATCTCTTCTCAGGCTACTGTCTGTGCCCGATTTTGTATTATCATTCTCTTCGTAGCTTTCATGTTTGTCTCAAAGATGCGTGCTTTTTGTCAATTGGGTTAGTGCCCGTGCCCTATGTCGTTGTTTGCTGTGTGTTCGAGCCTTGAGTGATTTTGTGCTGTTGGGGAACTTGATATTGGCTTTACGATGTGCTGAAATCATGAGATTGTAGCTTTGTGTCCGATTTTGTGTTAATTCTCTTTATAGGGTTTCGTGTTTGTCTCAAAGATGCGTTCTTTTTGTTAATTAGGTCAGTGCTTGTCTGCCGTATGTTAGGGTTTGCTGTTTGTTTGAGTATTGATTGATTTTGTGCATTTGGAGAAGTTGGTGTTTTTCCTTAGAGTGGTCGTGAACTTGTGAGTGGGGGCATAAATTGAACCATTTATTGGAATGATTGGTTCTATGCAGGGGAAGGAATGTGTTTGCCGGAGTCAAACAAGCATTCCTTGAATTATATGCTTTTGTAAACTCACATTGACAGGATGTTGTGTAAATTTTGTGCAATCTTTTGTGATCCGTGGATTTTGAACAAGAAATGATATGTTTTTTTGCCATGTTTATCACTGACATGAAACTTTCATAATAATTAAGTCTTTTACTTCCATTGGTAGCTTTTTTTGTAACTCCCACAGGAAGTCTATGGCAAAGATATCTCGTTTTGTTGTGGATAGTTGGATTGTAAGGTTGGGCTTGGTTGAGGAAGAACGCTTTATAATGCATTGATGTCAATTCTTTTTTAATATGCAACCTTGCCGGATAAGTTGTTTTACGATTGAACCTGTGTTATACAGCTGATCTTGATCTGGTCATGTTTGCCTGCAACTGAGATATGTTTGCATTTCTTCACTTAACTAAGTTCACAGTATCAGAAAGAAATATTGTTTCCATGAGAGAGGCAGACCTTTTGTTTATTCATATGCAGTGGCATTTATGAGGAAATTCAATTATGCTCTTAGTGGTCTGCTTGCTTACATGTATTGCTTAGGATGGGATATATGTGGTGTTCTGNATATATATATATATTTTGTTTTTGGTTTTCACCAATTGTTGGTTTCCCCCCTTGCAGTTGGCATGACAAAGCAATGCTGTTTGAGCAATATCACTGGAAGAAGGCACGTGCAAAGAACCAACCCTACAAGTTTAAGGTATTTTTACTGAAAAACGAGTTTCACCTCGTGCCATTTTCACCGAAAGTAAATGTTTTTTTTCTCACATTTTGGTTTCCATTTTGTGACACACAGTGGAATGAGAAGAGCAAGACTGAACGTGACGCGTACTACGTCAACTGGCCTATTTACTTTCCCTGAAGTCTTTCTCCTCACCGCCTGATTTTATATCCAGAATTTCACATATGGGTATAGAATCAAAACCCCGCCACCCTTAATAATTTGCATTTTCTCGTTACTTGCAGACTTATGTTGGAGAATTTTTTATTAGTACTGTTCCCTTATGAATATTTGTGGTATTGTGCTGCAATGATGTGAGGCTTGGACCTGAACTCCATTTCTTATTGTATCTAGAGTGTGGTGATTGATTGATCGTGTT